CTAACGAAGTGTTAAGTATAATCATATAAATTGACAAGTAATGTTATAAAAGAAGTATGAAAAGCTGGCTAAACCTGTCCATATCAACCAACATTCACATATGTAGAGTATTTATGCTAGATAAAGGTTTTAGGGCTGGTTCACACCTGGATCGCACAGGAACACAGTCCGCAGTGCAGTGCAATTCATCTGAATGGGGTGAAATCCCATTGGAAGACACAAAAAAAACGCACTGCACCAAACCACATGGCACTACGCCATCATGTGATCCAGTGCAGAAAAACGCACTGTGTTTGAAATCTGTGTTTGGGGTGTCAGCAGCAATTTATTGACACTAGTAGTGCATTCTGAGTATGGTGTTGGCAACATGCAGGAACTGCATTCCATTTCCATTCCATTTTGTGGATGGAGCCTGCTGGGCCAAACAGCAGGTGCATCCAATTAGATGCATTGGAATACAACAGCGCAGCCGAGAGGGATAGAGAAATCCCTTTTGCTCAGCCAGCAGGCAGCTTTAGTAGTCTTGTGTAAACCTGTTGGTATAAATCTGGTCAAACAATAATTAACCTCTTTGCGCATTTAAGAGTTTCAGAAGTCGGGAGGCGGGCGGGGTTTTAGGGTCATGTGACCGCTGTGATTCACTGTCATGGCGGTCACTTGATCGGAAAAGGTCCCCGATCTCCCTTTTTGAGTCAGTTTTTTGAGTCAGTTCCGTGAGTCACGAAGATACGTGCTGGGAGGGTGCAGGGCGCGCGTTCTCAGCACATATGTATTTTCTAATTGCACGCATATATGTGGCCGCTCGGCGTCAAGGCCCAGACACCGAGAGGCCACATATTTGAGTGCGCTTGGCGTCAAGGGGTTAACCATCACCAAATCCAGTTTTCAGTCAGGTTGGTTTCGATCGGTAAAAGAATATTAGACAGTTTAGATTTTACATCACAGAAACCTGACATTTTAACAGGGGTGTATAGACTTTTTATATCCACTGTATTTCTCCTATCTTTCTACAGCTATCTTTGTCCACACAGGAGAGATTCACCCTCTATCTGAATACAATTACCAAGACAGAAAGCGAAGACATTTCAAATTTTACCACTGTCACCATAACAGGAAGAAAGGGCAAATCAGTTCTAGTGATACCTGTCTAAAACGGGATTTCCATATAAGATTCTCACAGGATTAGTCACGGTTAAAAGCCCACTATTTATAGAGAAATGGGAAAGAGACATAGGAGTAAAAATTGATGAGGGAAAATAAAAGAAAATATACAGTTTAATTCATGGAAATGTAAATATGAGAGAGGTTGAGATGAATTATAAGTGTTTGGTAAGATGGTATATAACACCGAGTGTAGCACATAAGATAAGTGGAGACAATTAACCTTTGTGTTGGCGTGGGTGTGGAGGGAGAGGTACAATTTTTCACATATGGTGGGAGTGTCACAAAATTCAAGAATTCTGGGGGGGTATTGTGCGCTTAATTCAAGAAATAATGGAGATTAATATCTCAAGGGACCCAGAAACCTGTCTCCTTTATGGTACTGAGCTTTCAGTAAAAAAATATAAAAAATCTGGGCTATTGTATTACTTGAATGCTGCAAAGGGCTTGATACCCAAGTTTTGGAGGGAACAACAAGTACCGAAAATAAAAGACTGGGTGGATAGGGTAGAGAAGATGTATAGAATAGAGGAACTTTATCATATGGAGGAAGATAAAATGGAGGTTTTCCCTATAAGGTGGGAAAAGTGGGAAAAATTTAAAAAATCAAACCTATACCTAGAATATGTGTAAGAACTGTACGATTAAAGTAATATCAAGTTCGGAATAGGAATTATTAAAAGAGTTGAAAAATGCATAATTAGGGCCGAGAGGGGTGGGGGATGGGGAGGTTTGGAAAATAGGGTGGGAGGGGAGAGGGGGAGGGGTAAAAAAAAAACTAATAGATGAGTGGCAGGTTTTTAGGACATACGAAACTGAGAATATTTATACTTATATGTCTGTTTTTATTAGTTTTGTATGTATGAAATGGTAATCGAAAAATTAATAAAATATTGAATTGAAAAAAAAAATAAAATGGGAGGGATTTCGTCTTACTTCCTATTGTGTCTCATAAACAAATATAAAGGCATCCAAATAAACGGTTACAAAAGATTGGTGTTTCTCAACATTTGTTAAGTCAAGGCACCCTGTAAAATTATGGTCAATCTCGAGGCACTCCATTCTAAAATGTAAAAAACTAAACTGATCGTTTTCTATAATGCAGCAACACCCAACATTAGAGTTGATTTATTCTTTCAAAGCAAATACACCTTTGCACACTGGCACGGATTAATAATCAGATTTTTCTCCCTCTCCCTCAGTTTCTCTACCTCATCCAGTTTATGTGTAATGGAGAGGGGCAGGGGAAAACAAAGATGCCATGCAGGTGCACGACGTCCTTAATAATCAAGCAATGATACCATTGGTTAAAAGGACACCGGTGGCTGGAAGATTGTAGTGGTGCACAATGAAACCTGTGGCTTTGTGTAACAAAAAGGCAGGCTTGATCCACCCATTGGCTTGTACACAATTTGTGGGCAATTTTTAGGAATTTTGTCAAGGCACCCCTGAAGAAAAACACCCCAGGGTGCCTGGGCAACCTGGTTGAAAAAGGCTGCTACAGATACCCTTTGATAGATTAGATTTTAACATTAAGGATTTGTTTTCCTTTTTAGGTTAGGAATTAAGGTTAGAGTAAGAATAAAGGTCAAACTTATATGAATCCACAAGACTGTATTAATATATTCCTAGCATAGAGTTTGCTGCTCTCCTGTCCAGCCCATTAGATACCACATACAACAAAAGAATCAAACCAAAAAAATTTAAAAAAAAAAGCAGTCCATGATCTCCAATCTTATAACTTTGTCTGGACTGAGATCACAAATTTACAGCAAGCAGGAGGAAGTAATTACTCAGTTGTCTCAACCTAAGTGACCATCCTGCAACTTTGTAGCATCCTATAAGGAGAGAGATTGTAGTAGCAGCTGAATTATGTCAAATACTTGTCCACATTCAAAGCACAGGCACCATGATCTACAGGACTATGACATCTCTGAGCCAGCACTGCAGTCCGAACCTGGATAAAGCCTAAACAGACATTGCGCTGTCCTGATGTAAAGTAGATAAAGGTGTCAAGGTGAGAGCACACTGGGACAATTACTTGTATATGTATTTTATGTGATGTCATAGATAAGGTCCCTATGCGGGTTTATCGGACATGGAAATTACCAGTCCGTATACACTGTGTGTTCAGGTAGTTGTATGGTTTGTTGGACATTTGAATGAAGGAAAAACTAGTTGGGTTACCTTACACATGTTGTGGAATGAACAAAAATTCAAAAGCATTTTTCAAATGGAATTTCTCTTGTACTTTACCAGGTAATTCCTTAAAGCTGAAGTTTAATCTGCTTATATTTTGGCTTCCTTGGTTCCTCATTTCTGCCCTCATCAACATGTCAATGAAAAATTTTACAAAAACCCTTTCATTTTTGATTGCATACCTTATTGTAGAACCAGTAATTTCATCAATGGATCCCTACGTTTCTCTATGCAATGCAGATAGATCATGGCTTGTGAGAGGAGTCAGCAAGGTGCTGTACATTGTTTCCTGAAAACCTTACAGTTCCTTGCTTCAGGATTCCTTTGAAGAGCTCTCAGCCCCTGATATAAGCAGTGGGATGGTTTTCAGGACAGGGTGAATGCCACATAAATGCATTCAGTCACTTGTCTTGTCAATATGGCAGCATAATAAACACATTTCAATAGACTCCATTATCTAGAGAAATACATCCCCATATATAAATATAGTATTGCAAACCGTGGAAATATACATGTTGCACATATATATATCTGATGTATTAAAACCATTTAAATGATCTTCTTTCCACTTCAGGACTACTTCATAGAGCACCAGGTGTGAAATACCCCACCATCATGAGAGAGGGAGGAGAGAAACCAATAAAAATCAAGGCCCAGGGGGTCCCAAAATCAAGCAGTACACATGTGGGGGAGGTATAACACTTGATATGAAAGGGGAAAAAGACACAACACATAGGCTGCCACTAATAAACCAGGGGGTAGAATTTAAACCATGGGCCATTCACTTCCACCTTGTCCTCCAGCATGATCTACTTGTCAGAGACGCAGGTGAGATGACATCAGGATATGGGAACATGGAGGTCTTAGTGCCAATACGCATATGTAAAAGAGCTCTCAGGAAGGAGCTTTGTCTCCAGAAACACGTCAGATTATCCCCAATTGGGGCACAGCATTGCATTGACTGCCATTGCGGACCATGCACACTGCTTTTATTATCCTTTGGTTTGTGAGTATACCTCTATTTGATTACACAATAAATACGGTGTGTACCACAGTAATGCACTATGAGAGTGCGCCCTTTTTTGTTCTTTGTTCATTGGTGTGTATTTGTATTTAGCCCCCTTTACTCTGATACCCCTAACTAAAATCTAGAGGAACCAAATGCCTGCAGAAGTCACCTGATTAGTAAATAGAGTCCACCTGTGTGTAATTTAATCTCAGTATAAATACAGCTGTTCTGTGAAACCCTCAGAGGTTTGTTAGAGAACATTAGTAAACAAACAGGATCATGAAGACCAAGTAACACACCAGACATGTCAGAGATAAAGTTGTGAAGAGAGTTTGAAGCAGGGCGCTACGTTATAAAAAAAATCCCAAGCTTTGAACATCTCACGGAGCACTGTTCAATCCATCATCTGAAAATGGAAAGAGTATGGCACAACTGCAAACCTACCAAGACATGGCCATCCATGGATAGCATTAATCAGAGACGCAGCCAAGAAGCTCATGGTAACTCTGGAGCAGCTGCAGAGATCCACAGCTCAGATGGAAGAATCTGTCCACAGGGCAACTATTAGTCATGCACTCCTCAGATCTGGCCTTTATGGAAGCTATAAGTATTCCCGTTTGCAGTTTGTGAG